CGTCTATTAGCGTCAGGACCCGTGAAGGTCCGGGTTAGAATATTGATCTTCAGTAACCCATGCTTATCGCAAGAGCCGACTAACGGGGTCGTGTGGTCAGACTCGCTGACTTGGTTGACACATGTCATCGGTTCACAATTGCGCAGATCGATGCTCATGCTGCTGATCACTGAATTGTCTGGTCCAGACTCAATCATTTACAGACAGCCGCCATATAGCTGGAGTATTGCTGAGTGCGGCGTAAAACTAAACCCACTCACTATTGGTGTCAGGCAAGGAGAAAATCTGTCGCCAATTTTGTTTTTATTATTTATAAATGATATCGTAGAAGAACTTTCTTCTTTTGATGACTTGGGAGTTGTTATTTCTCATGTACGTTTACTTCTCTTTTTATTTGCGGATGATATGGTGCTCTTTAGCATTAGTATTAAAAATTTACAAGACGGTTTGGATGTGATGGTTACTGCACGAAATGGGGCTTGACCATATATACTGAAAAAAACCCAATGGTTGTTATTTTTCGTAAAGGAGGTAGACAAGGCAAGGCTGAAATGTGTTCTTATAATGGTTCACCTCTTGAGGTAGTCAATAGTTTTAAATATCTTGGTTTAGTATTTTCAACAGGTGGCAGTTTTTAATAGCTCAGAAAATCTTATCAGAACAAGGTTTGAAGGCACTTGGTTCATTGTACAATATATTCAATGATAATGTGTACATTACTCCAGATATTCAGTATCAGTTATTCCAATCAGTTGTTTCTCCTGGTCCATCATATGGTTGTGAAGTATGGGGCTTTATGGAAGCTAATGCTATTGAAAGGGTACACTTGAAATTTATGAAACATATACTATATGTCAAAATGTCAACTCCATCAGCTTTCTCCTATGGAGAATTGGGTACATTTCCTTTGAAAGGTATTCATGAGAGAAGTTTGGGTGACATTTCCTTTGAAAGTGTATTCATCTGACGAGAAGTAAACCTCCTTTGAAACTTATTCATCTGAGAAGTAAACCAGGATAGATATATAGTTTTGATATACAATTCATTATTGGATAGTTCAAATGAGAACCCTGATGTTGAAAATTGGGCAAGTTCATTGAGAGATACGCTCTTCAGGTTTCGTTTGGTTATATTTGGGTTGCCCAGTATGTTCCTGAAAGCAGCGATTTTGTGATATAATTTGCACAAAGGGCTAAGGATATTTATTCTCAAATGTGATAACATCAGTTATCAACTCTCAGTGAAACTAGATTGTATCATCATATTAAAGAAACACTGTGCATCGAGAAATACTTAACTTATATTGATGTAAAGAAGTACAGAATTTCATGTACACATTTCCGACTCAGTTCACATATGCTTATGATTGAAAAAGGAAGATGGAGTGTGCCTAAAATCCCACTTGTTGATAGATTATGTCCCTTTTGTACTAACGAAATAGAAGATGAGTACCACGTACTCTTGATTTGTCAAAATATCGAGAAATATGTAAACAAACTGTATTGGCCTTTGACCTAATAAAAATCTTGTTTTGTCTTGTTAAAGCGGCCGCTCTTCACGCTGAAGACCCGTTTCTCGTTTATTGGTATTACAAGGGGAATGCACATTAAATGAAACACCGAGAGCAAGTGGGGTTGGTCTGAGTTAACGCTCATTACGTACTGCACGTGCATTTGTTTCACTGTTCCAACTACTGCGCTTACCCCCTTGTAATACCAACCAATAATAGCGATTTGAAACTATGATCGTTTGTTTAACAACGTTTATCCTAAGTTTAAATGTTCAATTGGCAAGGTAAAATTATGAGGATTGGTAATCTTAATTTCACTTTATTTGATTTACTTTTTATTGTTTAAAGTGAAATTCATCGGTACATTTTCACTGCAAACAGACTATAGTGTGAGTATAATTTTACACCACGTTTTAGAAATATTCCAGCAACATCCCTTCGATGGACACCAGACCAATGAGAGCAAGTGGAAAGTTCGTGGTGCCTCCTGTGCCGGAAAGTCTCTGCAGAAGTGAATGATTTTGTTTGTTGTTTAACTCCGCACACAACAACATTTCGGCTATATGGCGGCCGTCTGTAAATAAAAACTCTGGATTAGACAGTCCAGTGATCAACAGCATGTGCAGCAGTAGTGAGTGAAGCAGCTGAATCTGAAACGTTTTGTTGATTTCAGTTTTTTCTGTTGTTTAACACCGCAGCAATATTCCAGTTACTACAAGATGGCGGCATGTAAGCAATATTATTCAGTCTGCATCAGGAAATTCTTTTTCATTCAAAGTAGTTTCCATTCATGATTTAATCGTAGAATATACACAGTTTATTTTCTTTCATAAGACTAATTTGCGCAAAACTCGCCAACAGCTAAAGGGATGATGTCAATCCAGCTAGGGCCCATACATGTAGCATTCGTATTGTAAGTCCCCTTGGTCCCTAGTATAGCGATCAAGCTTCAGTTGCTGGTGATCTACAGCCCATTTTATATTGAGTCGTTCTCTATAGTGATGTCTCTTTATGATAACATGCTAGTTTTCAGTCAAAATATTTGATACTCAAGCAGGTTTTTTGTCCATTGGCGACGGGTTTTCATGTTCTACATTTATTCATTTTTAATGTAGAAATTGTTCTCGTTACTTTATGCCTGTAATGGTGCCGAAGAACATTAACTCATTGGGTAACCCCCCCATTACCCCTACTTGCCACTACCCCTACAGCTTATAACAACATAGTTTACGGTCTGTTGCACTGTTAATCCACTGCCTGTTACCTATTCCACACAATGGACTAATCCACTTAAGAGACATAACAACACACAAATAAAAGGTTGAGAGAATGATTTTAAGGAAAAGTGATCATCATTTGTCATCATCAAGATTTAAATAAGAATTAACAATAATTCGTCATCATGATTCTTTGATGGACATTAACAATTAATTGTTAACATTCAATGTTAACATAGTCATTTGTGTCAAGTGTTTCAGTCTATGAACATTCAGTGTTTCAATCAATCCCAGCTTAAGCAGATAGTTTATGTGAACTGTCACGCTAATTAACAGTAAAGGAGCAACTATTTTAAAGACTCGCTGGTAGAACACTGGTCTGATTGTTTCGGCATTGTTTTGATGATAAGCCAAGGTACCAAGGCACCATTTGGAATCTGTGTATCTAACACTAAGTCGTTTGGACGCTTGTTGTAGTTCTAGAAACCCAGGATGAACCACAGCTTTCATTCATTTTCACAGATGGTATGTAGGTAAGACGGTATGTAGGGGTCAGGCTCCGATTTCTCGAAAAAACTTAAGTTTTTACTCAAATTTCAAACTGAGTTTGACAATTTGAAACAGCTGATTTTTAACTACATTTAACTACATTTTTTAATAAAAAGCCCAAACAACTTAAGTAGCCTATCTACCCAACTCAAATTGTCAACTATGTTTGAGTGTAATATCGATTTCAGTTCATTCTGGGATATGCATTTTCCTCCTTTTTATCAAAGTTGAGTAAAAACTCTTACTTAGTAAAAACTCAGACTTAAGTTTGTTTCGAGAAATCGGGGCCAGATCGGTGTATTCACTTCCTGATCACTAGACCGTATCATGTTGTTTTAACCTGTAGGCAGTTTGGAAATGTAGGCAGTATGGGAATACACCAACTCATCACTATTTTGCTGAGATATGACCGAGGTGACGTTAAGTTTCTTGTAAGCACGTGTCACATGTTCATGAAAGAATAAGAAAAATATATAATATATGTATCTTAACAGTAGCACAAATAGTGACGACTCTGTCGTAGTAATGGTATCAGCATCTGAGATGAGATGAAATGGGGTTTACGTCGTACTTCAGAATGTTTCGCTCATATGAATACCCCACTCCGACACATTTCACTGACTCTGAGCCGACCAGTCCTTGTACCTATTTATGCCGAGCGCCACGTCTTTTGGTATGACGCGACCGGGGATCGAACCCACGACCTTCCCCTCTCCGGGCGGACGATCTGACCTCTACACCACGGAGGGGGGTCTATCAACATCAGAGCGATGACTACAATAAAGGTTAACTGTCGAATCACAGAACACAACGATGAATGCACAATGGCACAGCATGTTAGTTGTACTCTGTCGTTATCAATTGACTTTTTCCGAATGAAATCATAGGCCCAGACACACGATGCCCAATATCAGCTTATCAAACGGACATCATTTACAGTTACTGTGATTTCTAAGATGCTGCGTTGAAAGATCAAAGGCGCCGACAGTACTTTATCAGACGATAATGTGCACTTTTTGCATTACGTCACAATGTATTGGCGTCACTGCGCCATTCGGTAACCCCCCATTACCCCTACATGCCACTACCCATACAGCTTATAACAACATAGTTTATGATCTGTTGCACTAGTCAGCTCCCTCGTAATTGAACACTTTTGCATTTCGTCACAATGTAAGCGACATCACGATGCATGTCAGCTGTCATGCCTCCTTGGTTTGCAGTTGCTTCACGCAGCTAACATTACGTTTATGTTTTCCCACGGATAAAATGTCTCAATTCGACTCACATTTTTTCAGCGACACGGTAACGTTCACAATGTTTATATTCCCACATAGCTTACAATTATTGTTGAATGTCGCTTGATTGCTCAGCTTCATCTGGATGTACTGATCTAAACTTAGGTTGGTATTAGAATGCGATGTTCATATTGCCTTATATGGTTTACATGAATCACATATGTAATTAAAATAATTCAGAGAAGATATTTAATCCGAAAGTAAACCGTCATCAAACTGTTTATCATTTGTTTTTTCTGAAAACGTTCGTCTTAACGTATGTGTGTATGTGTCCGGGGGTTGGGGGATGATAGAACAGCGCGTCAGTTAGCCCTGTGCGAGGATTCTTAATTTAGGTCACCGACAAAGTCGCCTGTTTTCTGCCTTATATGAATCGTAATTATCCTTAGAAAGTATTAAATTTGGCATCTTAGAAAAGAAATACAGTTCGCTCTACCACCATGTATAGTGTAATAAAGCACACTTTCGCCCTAAACTATTATAGTTTATAACGAGGACGCTTGCGTAGAGCGAACTGTACTTCTTTAAATACCTGTCGATATGCATATGATTGATGACCATAAAGATTTTCTATGACACAACTTGTAACATAACGATTTCTTCCTCGGAAGTGAGGTTGTGGTCGAAGTAACAGTAATATTGTAAGTAGTATTATATTGAAACCCACCTCGCTGCCACGAGAGAAATTGTTATGTTATACGCTATGTCATGCAAAATCCTATTGGCCATCAATAAAATACATATTTTACTACCAGTAGAAAGTAGTTTTGATTTTGTAACTCGGTGAAAACAAACCATTTATCCTCAGACTGGCGGATGTTCCCGACAGGGCGCCGCCATTTTTAAAAATAATAAAATCTGTTAGAATTAATGAGATTATAGTTTGTTTTCATCAAGTTAGAAAATCAAGACTACTTTCTACTCGTAGTTAAATATGTATTGGAATCATAACCAAACGGATTTTGCATGACACAACTTATAACATAACGATTTCTTCAACGGAAGCGAGGTGGGGGTCGAAGTCACAATACTGCGCGATAACTTTCTTGCTACATTCCCATGGTTAATGTCCACTCACCAGTATGTAGATACTAGTCAATGTGCGTCTTTATATTTGGTCTTATAATCCTAATTAGTTTGTTATCATACTTGTATGCATTTTGAAACTAAATAAAAAGCAGACGATCAGCTGATACTTAAAGTGAATTTATAACAGAACTGTAATAGCTAGACATTTTATAGTTTGCCAATGTGAATCATAATCCGCACACACACCCTAGTGTATGTTGTCTGTCTCATTACACTTCACGGCGAAAACAATGATTCTGTTGAATGCTACGACAAATGAATAAAAACAAAATGCAAACATTAAAATTAAAACAGATTAAAGTTATAGGAACAATATCAGGCCATTACCTTGTTCGAGGAATGTATCCATCAATATCCACAAAACTGTTCCAAATGATGTGTCTTTTAACAGTTTAATAAACGAAAAAGTGATAAATCTTTTCAGGTATTGGTGTATAGTCTCATTGGTCACCCAAGATAGCACACCTGGTAACTAATTGCATAATGTCCGCCTTTCTTTAAAAACAGTAATTTAGTTAGCCAATAATGGGCAATCAATCAATGTATTGCCGGTAAATCCTTTGAAAGAAGGGCGTTGTTTTTACGCAGACACCGACACGACAGAGTGTATTCAGTATAAATTAGTAAATCTACATACATAAACACTACCTTTGACAATTCCGCTGTGTAAGATAAAAGTAATTAATCAATCAGCGTGTTATCGGTTAATCCTTTGATCGATGTTTATAATGTTGAATATTTACTCCAGACACAAGAAATGCCAAATGGGAACCTTTGTCGGGTAATCTAAGTGTGTTACCACTAATTATACCTGTTATAAATTCATTAACTGACCATCAAGTGAATGATGACAAATAACATGTGTAGGTTTATACCACCTAACACGGGTTTCAACAAGGGAGTATTAATTGCTGTATTGCATGTGAAAACTTATGGGGCGAGCGCACTGTACTGCTTTAAATACATGTATACGTGTGGTATATTGTCTGTGCGTCTCTATGCGATAATCACATTTACATTACTACAATCTAATGTAGTAAACAAGCGTTTGCAGATCATGTAATATCATGTCAATTTTACTCATGATTTATGAGTGTCATTTTGTCCTATGTAATGACAATGTTAAACTAGGAATCTATCCATCTAAACATTCAGGTCTTTTCAGCATCCCCGCTGAGATATGGGTGCTGAAGATTTGAATCAATGAATTGTGCGTTTCGTAAACATACCCACACAATTACTCTTTTAGTATAACCCTTAAAACAGCCCCTTGAAATGTGAACTGACATTTGGTCCTATTTCTGTTTTTTCTTAATTATCATATCTATCAAGTCCGTGTATTTCGTAAATCATCAGAAATACGAGTTTTAAAATCCATAAAATCTCGTATAGTACTGTGTGACACTAGCGAGCTGACACGAAATATCAACGTACATGTCGGTGCTGAAAATGGGGTGTGTGTCATTGTTCACACTTCGCCCATGAAACTGCGACTTTCGCGGCTTGAATATAGGGGCAACGCTGTTTTTCAGGGCATTATCATTTGCAGAAACCCTAGGTCTTCAATTAACTGCCCGGTGAAGGGTTGTGTTGTGTTGACTGAATGGAGAGAATTTGGAATAAAAGAGCACGAAGCTATCGATCTGGGCCAACTTGCATAGAACAACTTAGTAAAATCGATCTTTGGCCCCTACAATCACCATGTAACTGTCATGCGCACATCGCTTGAACAAGCTGATCTCAGACGATTGTAAGACGACTTGAAATTAAGATCCTGTTGATGTTGCCTTGATGCCAAGTTTCACTCGACGTTGTTACAACTTGTCTTTCATGAAAAGATATACCTGTGTGGTTATGTGTGTGTTTGTGCGCGTGTGCGTGCGCGTGTGTGCGCGCGTGTGCATCATCATCATATTCAGAAATACATTTTGAATTAATTGGATGCTACAAGAGCAAAGTCTGCTGTTTGGTTGGTATGAGAGTACTATACACCATAAAAACAGGAATCTACAGTGATAATGAAATCTTTGATTATGTAGATATTTAAACATGAAAAAACATTAAGTCGTTCGCAATTTAACAGAGAAAAACTCCTGAAACTACAATAACGCTATCTCATCTGTGTCATGACACCTTGAAACTACAATAACGCTATATCATCTGTGCCATGACACCTTGAAACTACAATAACGCTATATCACCTGTGTCATGACACCTTGAAACTACAATAACGCTATATCATCTGTGTCATGACACCTTGAAACTACAATAACGCTATATCATCTGTGTCATGACACCTTGAAACTACAATACCGCTATATCATCTGTGTCATGACACCTTGAAACTACAATAACGCTGTATCATCTGTGTCATGACACCTTGAAACTACAATACCGCTATATCATCTGTGTCATGACACCTTGAAACTACAATACCGCTATATCATCTGTGTCATGACACCCTGAAACTACAATACCGCTATATCATCTGTGTCATGACACCTGGAAACTACAATAACGCTATATCATCTGTCATGACACCCTGAAACTACAATACCGCTATATCATCTGTGTCATGACACCCTGAAACTACAATACCGCTATATCATCTGTGTCTTGACACCTTGAAACTACAATACCGCTATATCATCTGTGTCATGACACCTTGAAACTACAATACCGCTCTATCATCTGTGTCATGACACCTTGAAACTACAATACCGCTATATCATCTGTGTCATGACACCTTGAAACTACAATAACATTATATATCATCTGTGTCATGACACCTTGAAACTACAATACCGCTATATCATCTGTGTCATGACACCTTGAAACTACAATACCGCTATATCATCTGTGTCATGACACCTTGAAACTACAATAACGCTATATCATCTGTGTCATGACACCTTGAAACTACAATACCGCTATATCATCTGTGCCATGACACCTTGAAACTACAATAACGCTATATCATGTGTCATGACACCTTGAAACTACAATAACGCTATATCACCTGTGCCATGACACCTTGAAACTACAATAACACTATATCATCTGTGTCATGACACCTTGAAACTACAATACCGCTATATCATCTGTGTCATGACACCTTGAAACTACAATAACGCTATATCATCTGTGCCATGACACCTTGAAACTACAATAACGCTATATCATCTGTGCCATGACACCTTGAAACTACAATACCGCTATATCATCTGTGTCATGACACCTTGAAACTACAATAACGCTATATCATCTGTGTCATGACACCTTGAAACTACAATAACGCTGTATCATCTGTGCCATGACACCTTGACGCTATATCACCCGTGTCATGACTAATAACGCTATATCACCTGTGTCATGACACCTTGAAACTACAATAACGCTATATCATCTGTGCCATGACACCTTGAAACTACAATAACGCTATATCACCTGTGTCATGACACCTTGAAACTACAATAACGCTATATCATCTGTGCAATGACACCTTGAAAACTACAATAACGCTGTATCATCTTTGTCATGACACCTTGAAACTACAATAACGCTGTATCATCTGTGTCATGGCACCTTGAAACTACAATAACGCTATATCATCTGTGCCATGACACCTTGAAACTACAAGAACGCTATATCACCTGTGTCATGACACCAATACCGCTGAAACTACAATAACGCTATATCACTATATCATCTGTGCCATGACACCCTGAAACTACAATAACGCTGTATCATCTGTGTCATGACACCTTGAAACTACAATAACGCTATATCATCTGTGCCATGACACCTTGAAACTACAATAACGCTATATCATCTGTGTCATGACACCTTGAAACTACAATAACGCTGTATCACCTGTGTCATGACACCTTGAAACTACACGACTCAGTTGAATAGTTTTCACTTGATGGGCGGTAGGGTAGCCTAGTGGTTAAAGCGTTGGCTCGTCACGCCGAAGACCCGGGTTCGATTCCCCACATGGGTACAATGTGTTAAGCCCATTTCTGGTGTCCCCCGCCGTAATATTGCTGGAATATTGCTAAAAGCGGCGTAAAACTAAACTCAGTCAGTCAGTCAGTTTTCACTTGAAATCTACTGCATGGCCAAGTTTGAATTTGAATGAATTGCGCCAGTAACATATGGTGTAAAGGCACAATGTTACACACACTTCTCTAAAAATACATAATGCATTTCTCTCAATAATAGTATCATCCCTCAGGGAAGCTACCATATAATTTATTCCAAACACAAATTACGCATTTAGATTACAATATTAAATTAAAAAGTTTCAATTATCAATTTCAGACAAGTCGTAAGGGATAATAAGTCTTTCATTGCATCACTAGAGTGAGTGCATATTGCCCCAATATATAAAATATAGCCCAACATATTGTCAAAAATGTGTGACTGGGG